CAAATGAATTTTATAGTACTAAGAGCACCACAAAGCAGCACAAAAACATCATGCCAACTTGAGTTTATTTCACACACAATTAGTTGTGCAATGAACAAATTTTTATTGGCATGCAATATGGCTTGATGGTGACAAAAATTATCAAAGGGTATCTGGCACATCAGTAACAAATTTCCAGTTAACACTAGCTTAAGCTGAAGAGAATTTTCCCATTTTAAGGGACTTGTTAAGCTCATTAGAAGCAGTGATATCAATTTTTTTGAGAAATCAACCATTCAACGTGACGTTGAACAATCCCTCACACAAAATGTGGCCACAAATTCACATTCTATTGAGTATGAAACATTGTGAATTCTAGAGCCTTTTTGCGCAAATTTTCTTTGCTTTTAAGATGTGGGTTATCCACCAGTGCGGGTAATCTGTTGACTTTTTTTTTTTCACCGTATGCAATAATTGGCCAGTGATGGGTGTGGGTAATTGGCCAGTGTAGGTAATTGGCTGTGTGGGTAAATGGCCAGAAATTATGGTAGTCACATGCCACTACAACCAACACTCAGACTCTGATACACTTTGCTTTTCAATACAGGAATGATTCATTGTATCGCCGCAAGTGCTGATGGACAGGTCATGTGTTCCACAGCTGAGGATAAATCACTTAAAGTGTTTGATGTTGTCAATTTTGGTGAGCTGAAAAAATATATTTTTTGATAATTCTCATCCAAAAAGAAGTACACCACAGCTTGTGATTGTTTTTGAGGTCTAAAGGTATTACCAGGTGGTAGCCAATTCAACACAAAATTGACTGTTAGTGACCAGAATTTTAATGCTACGGGATCGGAGCTACCAGGCAGCTACTTAAAGGGATATTTGTGATTGCCGTGTGAAGTACAACCTCTTTTTTTCATTTATTATAATACGTTAATAAACAATGATCCTTCATGAGAATTGATATGGCTAAAGTAGAGGCATGTTTTTAAAGCAAATGGTTTCTGCTTGCTATTTTGGACGGAAAAATTGTTCTCTTGCCATTTACATGTTAAGGGCCAGTATAATATAGTTAACTTTGGACTCATTACTTGAAACCAGACTTAAAACATTTCTGTTTCTTTCCTCCACTCCATTATTGTGTACTACTAACAGGAGTTTCTGATTTTGGTATTTCAAAGATATGATCAACATGTTGAGATTAAATTACATACCTGGACGATGTGAGTGGATTTTTCCGCCTGGAGCTGCTGTGGCTGCTGTTGCATGGTGAGAAATTAGCTGTTACGATAACTGACCATTATTACACGACTCGGGCAGTCAGTGGGGCAAATAACTAAAATCAACCAATCAAAATGCTCTATTGTAGGTCCAATATTCTCTAAGTATTGGACTGGGCACTGTCCCGAATGGTCCCGAATGATACCGCACTTGTGTCCCTTTGAACTTCAGTCGTGTAATAAATCTCTTATTAACCAAGCTTGCTCAGGACCGTACTGGAAGAATATCAACCCTCGGTCTTTTTTGTATGGACCTCGCTGCGCTCGCTCCGTACTGTCAAGACCTCAGGCCGATATTCTCCCAGTACGGCCCTCGCGCTTGGTTAATAAGATATATTTATTGAATGAGGGAGAATATTATAACAAGGATTATCAAGGCTGAGGTTTGTGTTATCAGCCAAAGGCTGACATGGAACATACAAACTGAGGCCTTGATTCAAGTACAGTGTAATAATTGTTTCCTTAAGAAAAATTAATGGAATCAGAAGAATGTTCTGTTTTGTATGCCAAACCATTTAACTCCCAGAATTGATTATCTTGTAACTTCTCCCTCAGGGATTTCATTAATTTTGGAAGTAGGCATTTTAGGTCATAAGTAGGCAGAAGACAGTTCAGCAGTAATCAAGGCAGATTTGTCACCAGTCTTTCTCTTCTGTCCATTCAACATAGTGTACAGTGAACTGATGATGTCGTTGACTGAATTGTTAGAACTTGTTACAAAAATCACCCAACAACCAAAAATGAGACAAAATATCAACAAAAAAAAAAACACCTTTATTGATGACTGCCTTTAAAACATATTGAATGTTTTCTGAAAAACACTCAAAAACCGGAAGGTGGAATGGTCCTTGTAGCTGTCTTCACTGTGGAGAGAAGCTGAAATTTAAATGTAAAATGTTCTTGGTAGTTATTATTATTAATGGTGATAATGATGAAAATAGATGATTTATCACATCAGTTCACTTTAATAAATGCAGTGATTAAGTGATCTCTTTTACTCCACAATTGAGTGTATGCACACTGAACCTGATATGCCCAAGACCTGTTTAAAATGTCTTGAATGCAACTGCAGTGTGCTATATTAAAATTCAACTTGCTCAATATTGTTTAGGTAGCTTCATACTTTTGCTAAGCTAAATATTGTGCAAGTATACAATTTTTGTCCTTTTCCTGGCTACATGTATCAAATTCTGAGAAGTTGGATGTAAAGGTAGCCTATGGCAGGNGGCAGTCAGAGGGCCAATAACTAAAATCAACCAATCAAAATGCTCTATTGTAGGTCCAATATTCTCTAAGTATTGGACTGGGCACTGTCCCGAATGGTCCCGAATGATACCGCACTTGTGTCCCTTTGAACTTCAGTCGTGTAATAAATCTCTTATTAACCAAGCTTGCTCAGGACCGTACTGGAAGAATATCAACCCTCGGTCTTTTTTGTATGGACCTCGCTGCGCTCGCTCCGTACTGTCAAGAAAAAAAACCGATATTCTCCCAGTACGGCCCTCGCGCTTGGTTAATAAGATATATTTATTGAATGAGGGAGAATATTATAACAAGGATTATCAAGGCTGAGGTTTGTGTTATCAGCCAAAGGCTGACATGGAACATACAAACTGAGGCCTTGATTCAAGTACAGTGTAATAATTGTTTCCTTAAGAAAAATTAATGGAATCAGAAGAATGTTCTGTTTTGTATGCCAAACCATTTAACTCCCAGAATTGATTATCTTGTAACTTCTCCCTCAGGGATTTCATTAATTTTGGAAGTAGGCATTTTAGGTCATAAGTAGGCAGAAGACAGTTCAGCAGTAATCAAGGCAGATTTGTCACCAGTCTTTCTCTTCTGTCCATTCAACATAGTGTACAGTGAACTGATGATGTCGTTGACTGAATTGTTAGAACTTGTTACAAAAATCACCCAACAACCAAAAATGAGACAAAATATCAACAAAAAAAAAAAAAAAAAAATTGATGACTGCCTTTAAAACATATTGAATGTTTTCTGAAAAACACAAAAAAAASGGAAGGTGGAATGGTCCTTGTAGCTGTCTTCACTGTGGAGAGAAGCTGAAATTTAAATGTAAAATGTTCTTGGTAGTTATTATTATTAATGGTGATAATAAAAAAAATAGATGATTTATCACATCAGTTCACTTTAATAAATGCAGTGATTAAGTGATCTCTTTTACTCCACAATTGAGTGTATGCACACTGAACCTGATATGCCCAAGACCTGTTTAAAATGTCTTGAATGCAACTGCAGTGTGCTATATTAAAATTCAACTTGCTCAATATTGTTTAGGTAGCTTCATACTTTTGCTAAGCTAAATATTGTGCAAAAAAAAAATTTTTGTCCTTTTCCTGGCTACATGTATCAAATTCTGAGAAGTTAAAAAAAAAGGTAGCCTATGGCAGGTTACCCCCCCCCCCCCCCCACCCCCACACAAAAAAAAGAATTTTTCACTAACCATTCACACTTTGAATGGAGAGAGGTTATGTAAAAAAAAGGTGTCATGCACAAATATCCAGTTTTAACTCCCAAGCAGGGCTCACACTTAGACATTATACCCATGGACCTCTCCCAGAGAGTTCCTATAAGTGACCGAGCATATTCACCTGCCTAATTCAAAGGCTTACATCTCATGTCCGCTGAATTCTTTTTTCTCTTAGCTCTGAGAAGGAGACTGGAATGATCTATGTCTATGATGGAAGAGGGACCAGCGCACCCCTTCACACAGTGAATTTTCATACAAAACCAATCACATTCATCAAGGTATTTTAACCCTTTACAGGTGTACTGTAACATCAGCATGCACTTTCTCCATACTATTCTCTGTACATTTCCCATAGTTCTAACAAGGAGAATTTGTTTAACAATCAAGAGCTTCTTAAGTAGTTTGCAATTCATTTCCTGTATTCTCATTGCCTTATAAAAAAAAGGGAATTAGAGGGGAGGGGGCATCTTCAAATAAGTTTCCTTCGATTAAAAAAAAACTGCTGATGTAGTCTGGCCAAAGTCCCGGAAAAGTGTTGTGATGAAAAAAAAATCATATCCACATGTTAATATAGTTTTCTAGACACTTTGACAT